GCAACCCCCCCCTGCAGCCGCGGCCGGAGCCGGGGCACCCTCGCCCTGCGCTCACCGGAGCCCTGCGCTGCGGCGCGGGTTCCACCTCCGCGCCTTTTCCGCGGAGCAACACCAGGGAGAGAGAACCGGCGCCCGAGTTCTGGACACAGCGCTTGGCGCGAGGTGCGGGATGGAGAGCAAGGCGCTACTGGCCCTCGCTCTGTGGCTCTGCGTGGAGACCCGGGCTGCCTCTGTGGGTAAGGAGCCCACTGCCTAGAAGGAAGGAGGAGAGGTCGGGTGCGGGCGGAGAGATGGGGATGCGGAGAGGACCTGGAGGCCGGCTCTAACTCGGAGTTAGAGCTGGAGAGATTAAAGTGACTTGACACTTTGTGTTCTTTCATTTACCGAAGAGGAAGCTGAGGCTCAGTGACTGGCCCAGGGTTACACAGCGACTTGGTGGTCTTGTGAGCCCAGTTCCATTTCCACGACTCTAGCCTCGGACAGAATCCTTCCTGAGCGGGAGCGCGTCTGCAGAACCGATACACCGCTGGGCTCTCGGGAGGCGGGGATGGGAAGAGTCACAGAGCTGGCAGGCAGGAGAGGCCCCCCCCAGGCGGGGACAGGAGGTGATAAAATTGTCCGGCTGCGCGCACCATCCTAGCCCGGTCTCGTGAAAGGAAGCCCTGCAGGAGCCGCGCGACCCAGGTCTTCCCCATGGCACCGTGCGCCTCGCTCTGCCTCTGTAGGAGTCGAACGAGGACCCAGGTCTACTGTTCCCTTTAGGTTCGAACTCACACACACACCCACTGTATAAGGTGGGGTCCAGGAGAGAAGGAAACTTTTTCTTATTTCTTGGTGCAGGACACCTCTCTCCTTGTAGAGAGAGAGAGAAAGAGAAATTGGGGCTTGGATCCGGGGTTGTGTGACAGCTTCCCAAAATGTCTCCAGGTAGTAGTCACCTTCCTATTTAAAACAGTTTAACATCTTTCAAAGCTCTTTGGTCCTTTTGAGTAAGCACATGGTCAGAAGTTCACGTTCTGAAAACCTACTCTGAAGGATTTGGTACCTAAGTTTGGTGCCTCTCGCCACTCTCCTTGCGGTCTAAAATTTCAGTCTCCTTCAAGATCAGGAACACACACGGCCTTGAAGTAAATAAATTCCCTTTCTCTCTCTCCTTCTCTTTCTCTGTCTCATCTTTCTAACATCTCTTTCTAATCTCTTCTGTAGCCATTGTTTGCTGCTTTCCAGATTTCCACTCTTCAGAGGGTGAGAAATGGGAGGTGGTGAAACAGGCAGAAAAAGTAAAATGGTTCAGGGGAAAATTCCTTGTATCAAAAGAAAAGAATCACCTGTCTTAAAAGAAAAAAAAAAAGACATGCATATACCGTAACAAGATCATCTGTCTACAGTTACTGAATTTTCTTAATAATGACTTGGTTCATCCAGGCCAGCTCCACCAGGGACAGTCATCTGTCCCTGACAAGACCTCTCTCTCTTCCTTTATGGGAAGAGAAAGAAGGTCTGGAACATGTGGTTTGTTACTGTATCCTACAAAGACATGAGTTGCTTTTGAGCCTGGGGTGTTTCATAGAGCAGCAGTAGTAACCGAAATCGGGTTGCCCTGAATGTAACGATGAGGTTGCCCTTTTGGAGTGTGTGACTTGCTTAATTGGATTGGGCTATAATTGATGCCATCAAATTCTAGAGACAGAGGCACTGTTGTTTTTCCTTCCTGTCTTTGAGCTGGAAGGGTAATAGTGCACAAATGAATTAATTTTGGTTATAGGATTTGAACATAGAAGAGCTTTATTGAGTAGCAGCGTATGTACTTCTTAGAGTTATTTCTTTAGAACTTTCTGAAGAGCAGACCTCGAACTTGCCAATGAAAATGAATGAAGCTTATTGGAGCAAAAAAGAAATTGAGCGTTGGTCTACAGATATGAATTTGAAGTTACCATTATTGATAGCCTTGTTGAATAGTTTTTTGTTGGAGACATGTCTCTAGAATAGTATGGTGTTGTTTTGGCTCTCGATGAATGGAGAACTTTTTTTTTTTGAACATAGGAAAGTGTGTCTAGAGTGTGAGATTATCTGTGGCAGTGATTTATGAGAGATCTTCAAGAATCTCTTGTTTTGGTGGCCATAGCTTATTTAGAGCTTGATTTTTACCATCATTTTTCTTTTCTCACATCACTGTGCCCAGATAATGGGTTCTTTCTCATTTGGGTCATCATGCAAATTAAGTTACTGGTTTTGACATGTTTCTCAGCATAGGATTTCCCAGTCACGTGTGATATCTGTGCTCATCCAAACAAATTGTTTTCATTTTTCTTTTCTTAGACAAAGTGGGAATCCATTATTGGAAGACTCTTCTTTTGCTTTTAAACATTTTGCTTTATTTTTGCCTACTTGGGAGGGGGGCAGTTATTTCCTTTATATTGAAAAGTGCTATGTTGACTAACTGAGCATGACCACCCAGACCAATAGCTATCCACGAGTGGCCCGTAGACCCTCTATGACCAAGTCACCTGAAATGCTTGTTAAAATGCAGTTTTGTAGGCCTAGGAATATCCTGACACATGCTAAAGTTTTCAGAACCTCTGCCCCGAGCACCTTACTTCCAACGCCAATTAGTTTCTGAGATTTACTGCTGTAACTTAATTTTCAATTTAAAAAAAAATCGATATTGATCAACAAATCCACAGTTTTGTCAGCAACTGGTTTTGCACCTCTGAGTGAGCGTCTGAGAACACGTGTGATCAGTTGCCCCTTTTGCCTGCAGCTGTTCGCACTGGGGTCCGTGGATTCAGTGCTCTGGATATTTACACTGGGTATTTGTTCATGCTCTGCTTATTCATACTCTTTTGTATTTGCTAGTCCTCTCTTTTATTTGCGCAACAGTGTCAATGCCAGCTTAGGCCTGGAGAGTCATGTGTTCTTAGTGGATGTGAGTTAAGGATCCTATGAAGCTCGGTGCTTACCCAGCACCCATCACTTTTTTAGGTGGTATTTTGAAGATCTGGTTATCAGTTAAGACCCAAGCATGGTGGACAGTTTTTCTTTCTCTGATGCTTTTTCAGCGCCTGGTAGCTTTTTGCATTTAGTTGACAGAGAACTCAGTTTTCTTGCTGTGGAGTGACCCATGGTGAGGAATCTGCCCCATGGTATATTTAGGTAAAGATACGTTTTTTTGTATATTCCAAGCTTGGTATCAGGACAAGCTCAGCGCCTTGATTAGTAAGTTGATATTCCCCAATTGTAATTCATTACCGTTACTCTAATTCTGTTCTCTGAGGGAAAGTATATTAATATGCATTTGGAAGATGTTTCTTTCCTCAATTCCTCTCACCTAATTTCAACGTGCAGTGTTTCAGCCTTGGCAGTTCAGTTACCAGGGGAAGGGCACTAGAAAATTGATAAAGGCAGATGAGACGTTCCCGTTCCCCTCAAAGTACATAGATGAACTATATAGAAATGTCTCTAATAGTATTCATTAATCAGCAATTTAGTCAAATGTGTGCATCCTATGTTTTATAAGAAGTGTCAGTGGGTCCTTTCCCAAGGGAGTGAGATCATCAGATGAAGGTTCATTTGGTTTCAATGTCCCATATCCTTTTGTAAGACCTTGAAGTTGGCAATGCAGGAAAACAGGAACTCCACCCTAGCTCCATGAATTGCAGAACTGTTGTGTTGGTTTATGACCATCTGCCCATTCTTCCTGTTATGACACAGTTGGTGAACTTTTACTGGGAATGGTGAAAAGTAAATTCACAAGTTTTACACAATGAATTGCTGAAGAGCCTTTTAAAGTATGGAGTATGCGTTGTTTATGGAAGGTGTTTCCTATTGGGTCTGACTCAGTGGCAATTACATTCATTTATTTAATTTGTTTCTAGGTTTGCCTAGTCTTTCTCTTGATCCACCCAGGCTCAGCATACAAAAAGACATCCATACAATTATGGCCAATACAACGCTTCAGATTACTTGCAGGTAAGGATTCCTTTTAGATTCAGATTTCCTGTGTTAAATATTTCATTGTTTATTGAAGGAAAAATAATTTCCATATGCAGAATTGTAATAGAGTCATAGTAATTGTTTATAAGTACTGAGGTTTCTAAGAAGTGGTGTAATAATGAAAAAATGAAAAAGCCCTTCTCCCCAAAAATTCTATACAATTTTGCTGGCATTTTTTCCCTGCTACCCCCTGCCAACCCACACATGCACACATGCACATACACTAATAACCAGTATAGCACCTGGAGTATAGTATGTAGTACACAATATATGTTGAATAAATAAATGAAATTGAGGATGTACCTTTAGAGTTAAAGAAGTTTGGGGACGTATTGTTTATACTCAGAATGGCTCTTGGACATCTGTTCAGCACTTTTCAAGAACTTTATTTTATGGTAAAATTCTGATCGTAGTATCCATTTAATATTCAGCCATTAATATTACTGAACGCATGTCCTGCTGCAGGTTGGTGTTCTGGCATGTCTGTCTCTCACTAGCTAGCAAGAAGTCATCCTATTGATTTTTGCTAACTGGGGAAATAAGCCTCTTCGACGAGAAGAATTCTGCCTTCCAATTTCACTGTTAACCTTCCAGCCCCTACCTCTGGAAGAAAAGTAGGACCTCAGGGTTTCATGTATGAGTATGCATGACAGACGCAGAGGCTTCTCAGGACCAGTGTGGTTTTGGCAGAGACGGTGGGTGGAGAGTGCTGATGTCCACAAACAGCCCTGGGAAGCTTGTTGCCATTGTTTGTGCCTGACAAATGCCAAGTGTTCAACACAGTGACACAGATCTATTTTAGCTTGCCGAGTGTAAAGGATACTCTAGTCCTCTTATCCAGGGTCGGTCACCAATACCCAGCCCTCGGGAAAAAGCATAGTAACAGGTGCTGTTTCCCTAGCTTTGCTATTTCAAGATGTGTTTCTCAGTAGATGTTCCTCTAACCCACCCTTGACAACAAAGGTTATTTAAAATCCCCCAAGACTCCATACTCCCTTTACGTCCCGAAAAAGCTATGGAGTATGTTAAAAGTGACTTCATTAGTGTAGCTGTAACCTCATGGACATTTCAAGTTCTTTAAAGAAGGGTCCATGATGTTACATTTTTCTTGATGTTGACTCTCTTCCTTGGGGCTTTGTAGAGAAATGCTGTAATAAAAGTAATCTAGGTTTTGATGTCATCCTCCAAAGTTTCTACGAGTCTCTTAGATAGTTGCGTCCCCTTCGTTCCTCACTTCACCTCTTACTCTCCTGATTACCCACTTTTATCTGGCTTTTCTGGCTTCCTTGCATCTCATGGTCCAGATAGGCACCCACACCAGGGTCTTGACATCTGCTGTTCCCTCTGCCTGAAATTCTGTTTCCTCCAATATTCATACGGCCTAGTGCATCAAGCCTCCAGAACTCTTCACTCTTTTCTTTGCATCTTCTAAATTTTCTCCATAGTACTTGTTGCCACCTTGTACACATTTTACTTACTTTTGAAAAATGTCAGCTTTATTGAAATGTACTTATTTTTTTTTTTACTGCCTGTCTTCTCCAACTTGACTGAGGTTCCATGAAGACATTGGCTTTTGTCTGATTTGTTCACTGCTGTATGCCATTTTTAATAACATTTGGCACATAGCCCATGCTTAATAAATATTTATTGGATGAATGAATGAGTTAATGAGTAGAAAACTCGAGAATCCCTATAAGTGATTTCTGAAGCCGAGCCTCTGGCTTTTTGTCATTCATCCATATAACGTGTCATTGTTAGTAGAGGGCTGCGTTTCTGTCTGTTGAGGCGTTTATGTAAGTTTGAGAACCAAATCTTCTATTTTCTTAGAAACAGCCTCCTAGTGAGGCATTTCACATGAATATTTGCTTGGAATTAATTTTTCAGGGGAGAAAGGGACTTGGACTGGCTCTGGCCCAACAATCAGAGCGGCTCTGAGAAAAGAGTGGAGGTGACCGAGTGCAGTGAGGGCATCTTCTGTAAGATGCTCACAATTCCAAAAGTGGTCGGAAATGATACTGGAGCCTACAAATGCTTCTACCGGGACACTGACATGGCTTCTGTCGTCTACGTGTACGTTCAAGGTAAGTGGTTAGATGGAATTCACTTCCCTAGTTGATTTACCGGTTACAAAACACAATGGGCGCAAAGAAGAATCGAGGACAACAAAGTCTTGCTCTGAAGGCTCTCTGCCAACAGGAATAAACAAAATTCTTCTCTCCCTAGACTTCCTCGGAGAATAAGACTCATTGATTTGTTCTGGAGCGTGGGCCCCATTACTTCTCTTTTGCCCAATTCACTGGGTTCTGATCTTTGTTTCTAAGGGAAATCTGTGTTCACAATTGGCTATGGGGATTTATAAGAAGCCTTCTGATGTTTGAGGGAAGAAAAAAACAAACCTGAAATCCTTGAAAAGGAAGATTCAGGGGTGAATTATGGAGAGGTTTCTGTGGAGAGATAGGTTATCTACTGCAGAGTTGGAGATTTCCCCAAGAATGCACAGGGATTCAGCCAAGGGCTCTGGAGTTTTTTGTACATAGGAACCTTTCTTCCCCCGACGTATATGTCATAAAAAACAATTTCCATACACTTGTGCAAATGAAGACCTTTCCTCAAATGGCCTTTCAGGGACAGTGTTTCTTTCCTTTGCTGGTGTGGTCTGAGATCTTGGATGATATGCCAAATCTTTCTAGAATTTGCAATTTGAGATTGACACCGTGGAGGCCAACTTAACATCTGTGTAGGGTAAAATACATGTCACGTATATTTAGTATTTATAATCTGAATTAGTCTTTCTTCTGTGTTGCAAAAATCTTACATTAACTTAGTTTTCCTGGAAAAACTTGACTTAACTCATGAGATACCAATCATATAATTTTGATGAGTGTAGGTGTTCCTTAGCATTTCACTTAGATATACTCAATATTTTCTTTTCAGTAAGGATAAGCTTTTTAGACATTTTATTTATACAGTTCTATACCTCTTTACATCCCAGAAGATTTGAAGCAGGTGAAGATGGCTTAGACTTTTTTCCAGAAGCATCTTTTGCAGAACAGGGATTTCATCAGCTTTGGAAAACACACTCTCTTGTCTCCATTTACATTCCAATGGGCAGTATGGTTAGTGCAATGGAAAGGTGGAGGCCACATCAAGATAACGTATGTCACTCCCGGATTGCACAGTATTTGAGATTTATTTCTACCCAGGGTGAGCACAATCCAAGATAGAATTCTGTGGCGTCTTCCTCCCTTCTGCAGAATTTGAGAGACATGTCTCAGATCTTGGAGAATTTCTGGCTCCTTTTGATCTGACAGTCTTGGGAGATCAGGCTTTCTCAGAAGATTGCAAGGATTTCCTGCTTTCAGGCTGTCTGGAAATACTACAAGATGAACCTCTCCCATAATATCTCGTTATTTCCTTCTCCCCAAGTCAGGAAACCTGGAGACATGTGAAAATTCATTTCGTGAGTTGCAGTAAATATTTTATTTTGAGAGGATGGGTGGTTGTTTGGGTTTCTTTTGTTTATTTCCTTTTTTTTTTAGGATACCGAAATAGAACTGATTGACTGAATAGCTTTAGTTTGACGTCAAGGGGTTAATTTAGCTTCCCAAGGCTTGCTCTCTAAGCAAGTTATGTAATATTTCACAGCATGTGGATAAAAAGATAGGTAATTTTAAGAAGTAGCGATCTCCAGCACTGTTTATTTGTACACTGCCTGTCTTTGGGTATACCATCAGATTCTGCTTCCTGTCTAAGCCTAATGTTCTAGGAGGTGAGCTGTCTAAGATTTTGGTGGTGAAGTTTAACAATGGAAAAGAAAACACTGAAGTATTCCCTATGGACAGTCCTTTAATATCCCCTCTGGTCTCCACCTTACTTCCTGCATCTTCTGACCCCCATTCCCTCCAGCAAGGGATGGAGCCAGGAAGTGGGTCTTGGCCTCGTAAGATAATGTCTATGGCATGTGGTGGGCTGGATTGGCTGCCTTTCTGTGCTTTCCAGCTGGGAAGGAAATCAAACTTCTGCTGTTGTAGGGAATTAGCTGCTTTTCTCCCCTTTGGTTTAATTAACTCTTTCTTCACTTGGACCAGCCATCCTGAAGCACTCTGAAAATGCTTGGTCAGGGGAGTTGGGGATGGCAGTAAGGACCATTGTCTCTCTGGGACTTCAAGCATGACTTCACACCAGCTCTATCTCTGGGGAAAGGAGTCAGCAGCCTATTAACATCATATGAACAGTGTTTGAATGAATCTCTCTCTCTTTTTTTTTCTCAGTCTTTGCCATGGTGGCTTTTCAAGTTTTTGTCATTGAAGGTATTGATGACTGCTGACTCTTAAATACATAACTATTAAACATGAGTTTATGAAGAACCTTAAATCTAGTCTTTACAATCTTAAAGTACACAAAGCTTTCTCTTGAATAATTGAATTAAAAGTTGTTAGTTATTTCTTTATTTTAAAGATTCTTCGGGGACCATTAATCTGTTTTTGTGATGTTTACATTATTTGCCTAAAGAGAGAGAGCAGGAATTTCTTTAACATCAATAAAACTCAATAGGTAAACTATACAGATTTAACTTGAAATTTACTTCAGTATTTATATATAGTGTATACAAAAATGTATGTGAAAATGAAGATGTATGCACCTTCATTTTGAAAAAAACTAATGATTAATCTGCCTAAGTGTGGAACCGACAAAATATAATCTGCTTGTTGATAACCCTTGCAAAAGAAGCCAGTCTCATTCTAGGAACTTTCTTCCAGATTTTTT